CCATGTCGATCACATACCTCTATCCGGAGACAATCAAGGATCGATCTTCATTGCATCGAATCCTGTGACGGAGTCAAGGTCAAAGCACATTGACATCCGGTATCACTATATCCGTGAGGTACATGATAAAGGAATCGTTGATGTCTTCTATATAGACGGAAACGACAATCCTGCGGACATCTTTACCAAGAACCTTGGTGTAGTGAAGTTCTTGAAATTTCGCTCACAACTTGGTCTCCGCTTCCCAAAGTCCAGAGCTGCTTAAAGCGCCTGCTACGCTTGCGTAACCATTCGGATACTTAGCGAGGGGGAGTGTTGAACAGGCGCTGGTTTACACAGCTTGCCTAATACAGCCGTCACAAGATATGGAACGGCACAGCCGGTTACTGCAATAACCGAGGCTGTACTACTCACGTGGTACACACACACAGCTTCGCTGTGTACGCACTGCTTCTCTGTGTGACTGTGCATCCTGGGAATGTACTGTATAGTACTACGTAGCCACAGATGTACAGTAGTATATATAGGGGACCTCTGTACCCCCAATCTACAGTTCAGTTCACTCGAACGTCTCCTCTCATCGCTCTTACAAGCCTCTTACAATCAACCAACCCTTCTAGGTGAGTTTCAGGCTATCCGCTGTCGTTGCCACCCGTGGGAGAGGCTTTCGCTCCCCGGGTTCAACAATCGAGGCGTGCATCCGTGAGTCCATAGTGTGCCCCCGGATGAACTCCACGCACTGACGCATGAACTTATGGAAGGTCTGGGCATTGGCCTCGCCGTTGTACTTCTCCGGTCGCTCAGGTTTGAGCACCGGCTTCTTGGTGCGCTTTTTCCTTTTCTTACGGGACTTCCGTGAGGCTCGGCGAGAGCTCGTAGACTCACTCTCTTCGGCAGAGCTCGTATCACCGCCTTCTGAAGGTTCAGAAGAGGATGAGGATGAACTGCTAGAGCCGTCCGAGGGATCTCCGCCCGTGATGCCAGCGAAGGCCCGTTCTAGGTAGCTGCCAGGCTCCAGCTGGGCCACCGGCCGCAGAGACGATGCCCGGTGAGCAGGCCCGAGACTCTTTCTCCCAGCTTCGGATTCCTGGGAGACAACAGTGCCCTTGGCCTTTCGGGCCTTCTGCGAATCCCGCTTCTTCTTACGAGCGGCCTTACGCTGCTCTGCTTCTTCCTTCAACCGAGCCAGCTCCTTGCGGATTTCCTGGAGCTGCTCCGTGAGGAGGCGGTTAGCCTCCTGGCTAGCTGAGCGACGAGGAGCGGCCATTATGGCTTCCTCGACCTCACTCGCCTCGGACGGGGTTGAAGCGCGGCTTGTAGTGTATGAGGAGCCCGACTGGGTAGATCCACCCGGTGTAGTAACCGCCGTCGGCTCACGTTCTGAGTCCTTCCGCCCTTGCTTTCGAGCTTCCCAATACTCCAGCATGGCACGCTGCTCGTCTGTATCGTAGTTATCAAATATATTGTGATGCCCAGTACTATACAACTGCAGCTCGCGCCTCTGCGCGTTAGGGTCTAGCTCATCGTCTGGGATGCCCGAGGCACCCCAGTTCCGTGCATCCACGGTCTTCCCCTTGTCCCGAGAGGGACCCTCACCCCGATGCTCGGGAGAGAGGGAACGCGGGCGAGTCGTCTCGACCGCTGCCATCCGGCAGGAATAGCGGTAACGTTCCGCTGGAGTAAGGCTCGCGGCGGCCGTATCTACGGCCGCCCGCTGAGGAGAAGTGAGTACGGGGCCGTCCTGCGCAGTGACGGGATCCCGAGCAGGCGGAGCGGCGTCCGCACTGCGAGCACGGCGGCGCCGTTGGACTGGGATCCAAGGGCCGCCGTCGTCGTCAGAGCCGTCCTCGACGGTCACTGGATACTTCCGAACGCCCTCGCCGGCGTCGGAAACGGGAGAGTTTAAAGCCCTCGGGGCATCTGCGTCTGCAGTCACCAGCCCGGCTACTATAGCGGAGGACTGGGAACCCGAGGCGGGAACACCACGCTCGGTTCCGGGGCTGACACCACCGGTAGGGGACTCGGTCCCAGTAAGAGGGCTACCTGTGGCAGGTATGTCAGCCGTGACTGCTGCAAGGGGCGGCTCACCTGGTACCGAAGGCTGAGCGGCCGAGAGAACCTCCGTGCCCGGCGGGCGACGTCTGAGGTTGTATCTAATAGACATGTCTGGGTTTTTATAATAGTAGGTTAGCTAACAAGGAGAGAGAGAGAATAGAAGCGTGCGATATAGGTCGTCGAAAGGAGTCCCGAGTTGATCAGACTCGGAGGGGGCCCAGTCGACGAGAGAGAGAGAGATAGAGACGAGAGTGAGAGATGGTTGTTGTCGAGAGACTAGCTGTCAAAAATATGACGCGCTCGCTGGCCCGAAGGGGTAGGTGGCGCGTCACGAGAGGGAGAGAGGTTCGCTCGAGGGATAGACAGGGTATGAGTATCTCGATTGAACGCTGGAGTTTGTACATACAGATCTGGGTTTATATACGGTTCATGGGCGCTATAACAGCTCTAAGGTTCGGGAAGACTCGGGCTAGATACGAGTGAGATAAGAGAAGCTGAGAGATCGAGGAGAGACTAATCCCGAAGCACGGAGTCGATTCAGGT